AGCATGTGACGGGGAGAAACTGCCTGCCACTGTCCTCCTCCCTCCAGCTGTGTGTCGACGTGTGGATCCAGGCGCCCAGCCTGGGACAAGCTTGAGACTCATAGGCCGGGCTGGGCAAGGCACTGGGCAAACACCGAAATGCCAGAAAACACGGAAACAAAAGTTAATAGTTCTGTAAGGAAATGACTGTGGGGCTAGGCCCAGCCAGGAGCGCTGCCAGTTTTTTTGCCGCCCTAGATGGCGGAAGGTCCCGCCCCCGAAATACCGACAACAACCGGGGCGGCCGAAGATCCGGCCGCTGCAGTCGCCGCCCCCGAAATGTTAGCACCCTAGGCGACCGCCTAGGTTGCCTAATAGGTTGCGCCGGCCCTGGGCCCCAGGCACGGGGCCAGGCAGCACCACCCCAGGTACATAAGAACGGCCGCACTGGGTCAGACCAAAGGTCCAGCCAGCCCAATAGCCTGTTTTCCGACAGTGGCCAATGCCAGGTGCCCCAGAGGGAATGAACAGAACAGGGAATCATCAAGTGATCCATCCCCAGTCACCCATTCCCAGCTGCTGGCAAGCAGAGATTAGGGACACCATCCCTGCCTATGCTGGCTAACAGCCATTGATGGACCTGTCCTCCATGAACTGATCTAGTTCTTTTTTGAAGGTGGGGGCCAGTGAGCCCCAGACAGGGCCCTGGCATGGGGACAGGCAGACCCCTGGAGAGCCTCCGGGCACAGCCAGGGCATGGTGCCAGCCAGTGCCTGAGGTGCCTGGGCCCCTGATCTGCCCCACCCCAGCCCCAGAGGTGGGTTACTGGGCTCCCCAACTCCTGATTCAGGAAAGCTGCAGCTACAGCCCCAAACCCAAACCCCTGCTGCCCCAGAGAGGGCCTGACCACAGTCTGCTGACTTGAAACCACGCACCTGTCACAGCGTTTGGGGGAGACAAGGCCCTGCACCCCCAGCTTCCTGGGATTCACCATGACTCTTAGTAAAGCAGGTTTATTTAGATGACAGGAACATAGTCCAAGACAGGTCTTGCAGGTACAGACAACAGGACCCCCCCAGTCAGGTCCATTTTGGGGGGCCAGGGAGGCCAGAGCCCCATTTGGGAGGCCAAAGCCCCGTCTGGGCTCACCTCCATTTTCCCAGCCAGCTCCATACTGAAACTCTCCAGCCCCTCCTCTGCCTTTGTCTCTTTCCCGGGCCAGGAGGTCACCCGATCTCTTTGTTCTTCAATACTTTAGTTGGTACCTTTGAAGAGGAGGGGCCCGGGCCATTAGTTGCCAGGAAACAGGGTGTCGGCCATTCTCTGTGCAGACAGGATCACACTGGCCCCCCAGGGCTCTGCAACAATCACCCCGCCCCAGACACTGGAGAAATGCATAGGGGAAACTGAGGCACACACACAGCACCCAGGGAAAACACCAAGAACACTCCCACCTCGACACATCTTTATCCCACTTCATCACTGTGACGAACTGGGACTGTTCTTACTGTGGTCTGTGAATGCTGACAGGGGAGTGTGGTGAGGATAGTCTGCCTGAAGGCGAATCCCTGAGTGTGTAACATGAGAAC